ATGCAAATAAGTCGTGACAGTGCCCTTAAAACAAGCCTATTTTTTTCTACCCAGTGCCGCCGCCAGCCCGCATCTCTACATTTCTGCTTATTCTGGCATTGCTGTAGCCCAGCCTCCCTATTCCATCCGCCCGAAATCGATACCAACTCTTCACCGGGAATCGGTCTGCGTCTCACACAGCAACCTGTATGACGCAATCGTCATACCACACGCCTTAGGCGCAGAACCCGTGATAGTTAAGCCACTTTACTCAGCAGACGAGTCTGCGTGTGTGTGCGGGACATAAGAAGTGTACTACACACAGAGATGTGCTCGCAGCACGCTCTCAGTTATTAATTGACGAATCTCAACGCGCTAACGAGCCATCCCCAGTCGACAAGGGTATTGCCAGTCATCTGCGACTATAGTGCTAATGAAGATGACAACGATTATTGTTAAATTCGCAAAAAAACACACACTGTAGCTTTAGTGCCTTTTTGAATCAAAATCGCCATCGATGATTAAAAACATTTTTGTTCACTAGTCTCACTATTTCATGCTGCAACGTCTGGAGATGGCAAATAAAACTGATCCAGTCTGCCGTCACCTGTATCCGTTCTCCTTTCCACAGTGTATATACAGGACACACCATTTTGCATGAAGGCTCACTTGAACCTCACAATAGCAACTAGCCCAGACCGGCGTCGTCTCCGCGCCGCCGGTCCCCCACTCACAGTGTGCCCGTCAGCTCGTCGGAGGCGGCCTGCTGCAGCGCGGCGCGCACGGCCGGGTCGTGCTGCCTCTCGATGAACCGCTGGATCGTGTACTCTATAAGGTCCAGCCAGTCCTGCCGGCACAGCGGGACACGACGTCAAAACGTGACACCGATACGGCGGCGGCGGGGGCCCGGACAGGCAGAGGCCGCAGGTGGCGGCTCAAGTGACTGGATAGAGCACATGTATGCCCAGAATTACCCGACAGAGGCTCGAGATAATGAACGTAAAGGTAATGTGAACGGGGCGAGGGTTATACTACCAGACGTATCAGCTGAACTTCGGCGAATTAAGTGAATTGTGAAACGCGTAAAAACCCGTTGGTGGATGACCCTTGTAAAGTTACTCATCACCGCACCGGAAATAGTTAGTTATAAGAACCTTAATCGTTAACACAGAGCTCAAGCGTACGAATCAATTATGTTTTACACCAACTTGAAGCCTTTTCACTAAACCTGCCCTTAATCTTCTCAGCTACCTCAATCCAAACCAGATACCTTGAATGCCCTAAACGACATCCCAGCTGCATGTCACAAGTCACAAACTAACAACACCCACGCAAACGCCAATTCCACAGCTCAGTCTGTTCTGATGTAACCGGCAGCGACTAATCCTTGACCTCACACCGCGACCTACACCCTCACCTGAAGCAGGGGCAGGTCGGAGCCGATGATTTTGGAGAACGTTTTCAGCACGTCCGGCTGGAACAGCAGCTCTATCCGGTTGGCGTCGCCCACCACGTGGTGTAGCACGGTGAAGAGCGCGTCGTTGAGCACGGGCGCGTTAGTGGCGTACAGTTTCAGCAGACTGGTGTACCGACGGATGATGGTCGGCTCGGCGAACCTGGGAGGTGGAAAAGAAGTGTAAATGACGGCAACTGACAGGGTGTAACTAAGAGGGTGTAAGTGATGGAGAGTTGTAACGGACCTAGTGTAATGGCGGGGCATAACTGCCGGGGTGTAGCTGACGGTCAAATGGACACAGTGTATCAGACCGCGGCATGAGCTCACAACAGGGCGTACCCAACAACGGGTACCCACAAGACTGATTGTACCCAACAACGGGTACCCCCAAGACTGATGATGAAAAGCCACCAAACAACGGTGCACCTTAAAATGCATACAAAGCAATTCAATACTGAGATGCCAAGCTGAAAATCATCATTTCAACGAAAATGAGACAGATGATATTTGCTCTTTATAAAGCTAAAGAGCACGTGCTTCACGTGCCCTTCACATTATTCATATATTCTTCACGTGTTTAGGGCAGTATTCATCTCCAATTTAGGCCCATCAACTGGCAGCGAGGCATTTCACGTGACAGCCGCACTATCACGTGAACAGACAGCCGTCGGGGAAAAATGCCGAGCCGGTAAACACTCTCCGGGCTCAGTCCCATTTCGTGAAAACGAGATAGCCACGAGACCTCGGAGATTTGGCCGGATAATGTCCGGTAAATGCTGTCGTTTATGAGCCCGTCACGTGCGCGCACACGCCACCGAGTTCAATGACAGAAGGGGGCGGGGGAGGATATCCAGTCCACACTCCACCACATCAGCACCATTGACAACCGACGGAAACCGAGCGGCACAATAGTCGAGACGTTATTTATAAATCGCACAGAAGGAGACAATTGAGAAATCCCCTCGTTTTGGCCACAGTAAAATGAATTAAATATCAGAGTGGCACCTGGATACCCAAAACGAGAATACCTTTTGTTTATTTTTTAGTGTTTGAGGTTTAGGACGCGTCGACGCGACGGTCGGGTCATTATGCGCCTGGAAATCCTTAATATAACGAACTAACGAATTAAAATGTTTTAATCTAAATAGCTTTATTAGACATCGTAAAATAGAGCCTCGAGCCTGTTCGATTCGCTTCTAACAAATCACATATTTGTGAATATCCGTGCAGCTTAGAAGCACTAGGCACATGAGTCGTTGAAGATGCTATCTTTAGCAGCCTCGTGCATTTATTCACAAAGAGACGAAGTCTGTCCAAATCAAGATAAACTTAATGGTTGATAGACACAGAAAACCCATTTATTTAATTCTACCCATCCGCCTGATCATCGTCGAGATTTCATCAGCAAGATATTAAGAAAGTCCATCTGTTTCCATCATGGCACGCGTTGCCCTCAGGAGGTCACGTGGCCCCATTGAAAGTGATCAGCCCGAGCCACGTGCTGTGGGAGACGGGGTCACTCGTGCGTGACGGCCGCCCCGGCAGCGGTTCGGAAAGGTCACAGGGTCCGCGCGGCGGGGGATGGTAGCCCGGAGGCACAGAACGTGACCGGACCGAGTAATGGTGTTCACATTTAGCCTCGGTCAGGGTGCTGGCGCGCAGTACTGGACAGCTAAAATATTGTCACAGAGTCCCATTTACACCAACTTTACCTCACTGACTTTCTTTCATTGGTCAAAAGTGAGTTCAAGCACTACCACTTTCGTCAATCCTGAGCATGCCTCAATATCAAAAAAGAAACTCCACCATCGAATGACGATAGCATCACGTCGCTCCCTCCGGCTCTGACTGACCCCAGCCCTATCAGAGCAGTCCTCCAGTCACAGTGAACGTGACTGAGCACAGTTTCTGACTGTTCCGCCAGCCCCTTCCACGCCCAATCAGTGTGAAGTGTCTGAACAGGGACACGACTGTCCCCAGCTCCTTGTCCCCTCTCACTCACAGTATGACGTGTCCGAACAGGGCCTCTGAACACCTCAGCCCCTGTCTCCTCCTCTCACTCACAGTGTGTGTGAGTGGTTGACTGCAGCGGGAACTGGTTGTTGAACCGCTCCTGTCCCTCTCACTCAGTGTGAGTGTCTGAACAGGGGGAACTGGTTGCTGAACCTCTTCCGTCCCCGTTACTTGCAGTGTGACGTGGATGAGCAGCGGTACTGACTGCCCCCGGCCCTTCAGGCAGCGCTATATTACTCACAGCGTGACGTGGCTAAGCAGCGGAAACTGGTTGTTGAACGTCTCCTGCATGCTGATGAGCAGGTGATTGGTGAGCACCAGGTCACGCAGGTAGGGCAGGCTGGCCGGGCCGAGCCGACACTGGCCGATCAGCAGCAGAAACAGCTGACGGAACTGGCGCAGACGGCCCACCTGGAGACGGGAGGGGGCGGGGGGGGGGGGGGAGGGTGAGACAGGGATATCCTTGGCCGACTTGAAGACGAGGGAGGCGAGGCGAGCGTACCCTTCCCTCTGTCCACTCGTGATAGAGAACAGGTAAAAACGGTGTCCCTCTGACCCTCCTGAGACAGAAGAGGGGATGAAAGGGGTCTCCTGGCCCACCTGACGATGGGATCAAAGAGCATGATATAAGATGGATGGTTTTATGGGTGCATAGGAGTTAAGGATAGGATGTATGAGGCCCTGGCCTAACGGCGTTAGGGTATATGAGATGGAATGCATGAGTGATGAAAAGATGGCATGAAGGATGAACAGGATGGATGTGTAAGGGTCGAGTAGGCTTTGTGACAAAAGGCATCTGCATAAGCTGACTCCATCCAATCTGGACAAAGACAGACGTGAAGTCGGGCATGGATCGATAAATCACGATAAACAAATGTTATGATTGGCCATCCCACATCTCCAAAACCACTCCCGAACTTAATCTACTTTACACCACCAACTTCAAACAGTCACAATAATAAGCAACGAACTTCCACAGTTCAATGGTCAGCCATCAGCAACAAACTCCCACTGTCCCAAAATCAACATTCAGTAACGAACTTCCACCGTCCTACAGTCAGCATTCGGTACAGAACTCACACCGCCCAATGACCAGCCACGCGCACACCCACCTGACAGAGAGTATTCTGGATCTGAGCTATGTGCTCGTCGCTCGAGTAGCCTCTGATCGCTTCCATCCCGTACAGGATCTCGCGAATGGCGTTCGTCAACTGAAAGAACGGCAAATGGAACATGTAAAAAAAAGGGAGACTCTAGCTGCGATAGACAATAATGAAATTACAAATACAATTTTACACATATTCAGACGACAAAAATATGAGGGCAACTTTTTAAAGTTATCGTTATAAGTATCATCAGACATCAGTGGTTTACAGCTACATGACTCTTTGCCTTCGTGTGACCTCAGCAAAATCAGGTTTATCTAGCCGTCCGGTGTCGACTGCCGTTTCCTAAGACGCGCGTTCGTTTCAGCGTGATTCCGCGGCCTCTCACCATGTGCAGCTGCCTCTGCGAGTGGAACCGCTCCAGCGTGCTGGTCGGCTGACTGGAGCCGATAGCAACCAATCGGGTGGCCTCGTACGTGAGCAGCATCAGCAGCTCCGAACACAGCACCGGCCTGAGAGCAGAGCAGACGCAGGAGGTATTACTTGAACAGATGTAACTGCATTTGCAGAAGCTAAAGGGTCTTAAAAAACATAATGAAGCAGTTAATTAGGAAGTCTTAAAAATATGAGATATGGAAAGAAATGAAAGAACTTCTTGGCTTACTTAGGTAATTGACATACTTAAAAAAGCTAACAGCATTAATACGCTAATTACACCATCAAATTCGCGGACATTCTCCTCAATTCATTTAACATAATTTAGAATCATTAATGTCTTAAATTCCAAGATATGAATGTACAAACATCAATTCATGTTTTCATCAACTAGACTTTGCATCAATCGTTTGAGCACTGAGGCTACTAATTGACTGAGGGGCTTACCAAAACAATGAAACAACTAATTGACATTGCAGCTTGCCAAAACATCAAACATCAACAGGCAGCACTTATGGGGGCATCCCATCTCCCTAAAAGCAGTCCTCCAGCCAACCAGCTCCCCCTCACGACTTCCCACCCACCCTCGAGCCCGTCTGACCGTCTGCACGTACTGAATGTTGGGATAGCTGACGCGCAGTTCTGTACACGGCTTCATGAAGTACACGATCGCCCAGTACAGGTGCGATTTGTCCATCTTGTCCGGAAGGCTGGACATCAGCGCCTGTGAGGAGTTAGGACAGAGTTAGAACAGAGTTAGAGCAGTTCGAGGGATATCACGTGATGGGAGATACCATTGACAAAGGCACACGATGCAACTTTGAAGGGGAAACAGCATCCAGTTCGAGACACCAGTGTCGCCTGCTCCATTCGCAGCCGCAGGAAGACAACCATCACCTGCGGCTCCTGTAGGCAACTATGGCATACTTCCTGCGCTAAGGTCCCCGCAAGGAAATCCCATCACCTCCCTGTTTGGCATTGTCCTGCATGCCTCGGCCGCGAGTCAGCCCAGCTCTCTGACGCTTTCAACGGAAGAGAGGTTCCAGACACTGGCGTCGTCGAAGGACTGGCAACTCTAAGGAGAAGCACTAAACTAATCTCGCGAATACCTAAAGGCGTAAGGCCTCTGGTGGCCGATGCCCTATGCAGCGCCTTAGAGGATGCCCTTAAGCTACGCACAATCTGCGCGTGGTGGACCTTCCTGTCTTTCGCGTTCTTCGCGCTACGCACACCAGGAAAAGGCGATAATAATGTCAGTGCCGCAGCGAGCATCAGGCAGCAGCTCTCCAGCCCCAACCAAACCATGACACCAAACCTGCTTCCCGAACCACCAACAAATGACTCAGCACGAGAACATCATAAGCCTGCCACTGACGCCCTGGCCCGTCGGATCCTCGGGAAATGTGCAGATGGCGACATCCGGGCGGCCCTAAGGCTACTGACCTCAGATGATACAGTTGCCGAGCCTGACGCCGAAGTAATCGCCGAGCTAATGCTGAAACACCCAGCAGCTCCCAAGGACGAGCTTCTGCCGCCACCGCCCGCCCCATCAGACCCAGGGCCGCTCACGGTGACGCCGGAGGAGGTGGAGGCCGCTATCAACTCGATGCCCCCGGGATCATCAGCAGGCCTAGACGGCATCAGGCCGCTACATCTACGCCAGCTTATCTCCAGGGAGGCGGCTGAGAGCGGCCGCCGTCTTTTGCACTCTTTGACGGTACTCACCAACCTGGTGCTGGCCGGTGAGGTGCCGGATTGTGCCAGGGACGCCCTTTTCAGCGCCTCACTATGCGCACTCAGGAAGAAGAGCGGCGGATTGCGGCCCATTGCAGTCGGGAGCGTCTACCGACGCCTGCCATCCCGCATCGGAGCACGCTTCGTGGCAGACAGCCTTGGTGCCGAACTCCGTCCTGTCCAGCTCGGGGTAGGAACGCCCCTGGGCTGCGAGGCGGCGGTCCATGCAACGCGCAGTTTCATTGAAGCCAGCCGACAGTCAGCTGCTCCACACGTGCTGGTCAAACTTGACGTGTCAAATGCTTTTAACACGGTGCGGCGCGACGTCTTCTTGACCCGCATTAGGGAGCGATGTCCGGAGGTGTACTACCTAGCCTACCAGGCCTACAGCTCACCCAGCCCACTCATCATCGGAGGGCAGACCATCGCTTCGGCCTGCGGTGTCCAGCAAGGCGACCCGCTCGGACCAGCCGCGTTTGCTATCGCCATTGACTCCTGTGCCAGAGCAGTGTCAGCACCTCTGAACATCTGGTACTTGGACGATGCAACGCTGGCCGGTCCAGCCAGCGCGGTCGCTGCTGACATCGCAACACTTCCAACAGCGCTGGCAGCCGCTGGTCTCTCACTGAACGCGGCCAAGTGTGAGGTGGCCTTCATTGGCGCTGGAAGATTCGGACCACCGCGACGCTGCCATCAGCGCCATCTGCTCTGCGCTGCCTGACGTCAAAGAGACTGAGCTCACAAACCTATCTCTGCTTGGCTCTCCCCTGACCGACGGCAGCATAGGAGCAGCAGGGGAGGCAGCCTCTGCTATGGTGCAACGCCTCTGCACCCGGCTGCGCGAGCTAGACAGCCACACTGCGGTGTTTTTCTTGGCGCACCACGTATCGGCACCGCGTCTGACGTACCTGCTGCGCTCCGCACCGACGTTCAAAGCCCCACACGTACTCCAGGCTACTGACGAAATGGTGCGCAGTACACTAGAAGCGGTCTGCAACGTGGCCATAAACCCTGCCGCATGGGAGCAGGCGTCGCTTCCAGTGAAGTTCGGCGGCCTGGGCATCCGGTCAGTCGAGGCACTGGCGCTACCAGCGTACATTGCGTCGGTAAACGCAGCACGCCCCCTCATCCGTTCCATCTGTCCGAGTGTGACTGATGAACTCTCAGACACCTTGGAGACCGCAGTCAGCGCGTTCCTTCATCGCACAGGGGTGGACCGACAGCAGCTGCCGGACGGTGAGCTGGTCAGTAGTCAGCGCGCGTGGGACACCGTCGCCTGTACGGTGGTCCAAAGTCGCCTACTGGTACCAGCCAACCAGATCGACCGAGCTCGGCTCATCGCCGCCGGCCAGCCGCACACAGCGGCCTGGATCCAGGCGGTGCCGGTGCCGAGTCTCGGGCTTCACCTCGACGACGAAACCGTCCGCGTCGCTGTGGCCCTGAGACTAGGCGCCCCGGTTTGCGAGCCGCATCGGTGCCGTCTGTGTGCGCGCCCCGTCACCCCGCTGGGACATCATGGCCTCTCCTGCCAGAAAAGTGCGGGTCGCCACTCGCGTCATGCCCACTTGAACGACGTGGTGCGTCGCGCTCTCTCCGGCGCTGGCTTTCCCGCCATTCTGGAGCCAGTCGGCCTCGACCGGGGCGACGGCAGACGACCGGATGGCATCACCGTCTTCCCCTTCCGCGAGGGCAAGTGTCTGACGTGGGACGCGACCTGCGTCGACACTTTCGCCGACCACATAGCGGTGGAGTCCGCACTGAAACCGGGTGCAGCTGCAAGGCAGGCCGAAGAGCGAAAGCGGCAGCGTTATGCGGACCTAGCCAGGAGGTATAGCTTTGTTCCAGTGGCACTGGAGACAACCGGTGTCTATGGTCCGGCCGCCGCCGCTTTCGTCCAGGACCTGGGGAGACGCCTGGCAACCTGCACGGGTGAGCGTCGCGAGACGGAGTGGCTGCGACAGCGGCTGTCCGTGGCCATCGCTCGTGGCAACGCGGCCTCCGTCCTCGCCACCGCTCCCCAATCTGGCATAGAACAAGCAGGCCAAACCCGCAGGGCTGCCTCCACCGCTGGGAGCAACCCAGGGACGACGCGCCGGTGGCCGCGGAGCCACGCGGTAACGGCGGCTACGCCATCGGCTAGCTGTGCGCCTGAGGTCGAAACCAGCGGCAAGAGGAGCACAAGAGCCACGCCGCCCAAGGCAGATTCTCCGACTGAGATCAACCTGGGCAACTCGTGCTACCGGCGCGGCCTGGTCAACCTTGGGAACACGTGTTACATGAACACCGTGCTACAGGCGCTGTTCCATTCAGATCAGCTGCGCGGCGAGGTGCTGGCGGCGCGGCTGTCCCCCTCCCGTCCGCACCTGGCGGCACTACAGCGAGTGTTCGCCTTCCTGGCGTTCTCGGAGCGGCCCGTCTACAGCCCGGCCAAGTTCCAGCGGACCGCTCTGCCGCCCTGTTTTGAGCGGGGCCGGCAGCACGACTGCTCAGAGTTCCTCCGATGCTTTCTGAACGCCTTGCATGAGGAGGAGCGGTCTCCGGCGGCTTCCCCTGCCGCACCGGTCGCGGTCTCGCCGCCAGTCCCTCCAGCTGCTGCCGCCGCACGCGCCAGAGACGACTCCAGCGTGCCGGGAGCAGCGGCGATGGAGCGGCCGCGGTCCCGGCGCCGGCACCGTTCCTGCGACACTGCGCGGGCCGGCGGGAGATCGCCGCTGGTGCAGCTCTCTGACCTGGCCAGCGACGATGTGGTGATGGCAGAGCCGGCCGGAGACAGGGCGGAGCGGACTGCCGCGGAGGGGGAGCCCACAGAGTCACCGGACACCGGCGGGACGCAGCAGACTGATCCGGACGGCCAGGCGCAGGGCGAGGTGGTGCGTGAGCACGGTACTGGCGACGCCGGAGCTGAGGAGCCGCCCGCCGGCCTGGTCCGTCGGCTACTGACCGGATGGGCTGAGACTACGTTCACCTGTCTCACGTGCGGCGGCGCTTCGCGCCACGAGAACAGCGTGACGGACCTGCACCTAGCTCTGCCGGAGTCGGTGACACGGTCACTGACGGCAGCTGCCGCGGGCGCCGGGGGAGCCGAAACTGCGCCGGCGTTCGGCCCCGCGCCGCGGCCGGTCGGTTGGCGGGGCACGCCACCGACGGACAACCAGACAGAGATCGAGCTAACCGTATCGCAGCTGCTGCTCGACTACCTGACGCCGGAACGACTGTGCGGTGATAACCAGTATTACTGTACCAAGTGCACCGGCCTGCGGGACGCCGAGCGCCAGCTGCGACTGCTCTCTCCGCCAGCCAACCTGGTCGTCTCCTTGATGAGGTTCGCGGTTGACCGGCGCACCGGTGCACGCCGCAAGGTTCTCACCCCTGTGGAGCTCACCGAGTGGCTGACAGTGCCGCTAGCCACCGGCCCGCCCGCCCAGTACCGGCTGTATGCAGTGATAGTCCACGCGGGCCATTCGCCGGACGCTGGCCACTATTTCTCATTCTGTCGCGCCTCCGGTGGCGGTGGTATTGATGGGATGGACGATACCGGCTGGTGGCGGCTGGACGATACGTCAGCGGTGCCGGTGCCGGCGGCCACCGCGCTGGGCCGGCCGCGCCGCTCCACCGAGGCAGCCTACACGCTGCTGTACCGGCTGACCGATGCAGCGGTGGCGGGGGCGGCGGGCGGCTTGTCGGCGCTGGCCGCCCTGCCTGGCCCGCTGCGAGCTGCCGTGGAACGAGACAACGCCGTTTTCCGACGGGAGTGGCAGAGCCGGCCGGCCGGCGCACTGCCGATGGTCCACGACGGACGGCCGCCGCCGGGTGCCGGCTGCGGCGGCGACAGCGGGCCCGGCGTCCCTCGGATGCGTCAGCCGACGACGAAGCGAAGCGGTCCAAGCAGGAGAACGGCCACAACGGCGTCAACGGCCAGGCGGCGCCCCTGATATGCGTCCGCCCCGACCTAGACCCGCTGCCCCGCCCTTCTGATCTGGTTCACCCGTGCATAATGTCTCGCCGCATCATTTTATTGTGCTATTAAATGTACCTGTTTTGGTGTACTTAAACTCGTTTAAGGTTCGACAGCCTCTAAACATTCCAACCCTCAGTTCGTCCTCCCTCCTATTCCTATTGGATGCCACAGAGTACCGCAATAAATAAGTTCGAGGGAGAGTTAGAAGAATGCTGTGCATCTCTGACGCTACGTCTAGCTAGCTTAGACTCTGTTGCTAAACTATTTGAACACTAAGAGTTGACCGACGGTCGTGTAACCATGGCATTAGGCGGCAAATGGCAGCTGGGTGGACGGCCTAGTTTCATAACCCTACTCGCAACGTTACATTGCAACTGAAAGCCACCATTCACTGCAGGCGGCTGCTTTATAAGACGTTGTGTTTCAATATTAAACTCCGTAAAACTCTGCCTAGAAACAGGGCTGGGAGGTTTGCTCCAGAGACCAGCACAGTGCTACAATCGCTTCACATACCGCACAATAAAGCTGCCCTACTGACACGAGCAACATTGCTCGGGGAATACTGCCATTACATCCGAGCTGACATAAACCAGCAGTCCCCATCCCGTCTGTGGTTTCCAAACCATCTTCACCAGAGGTCAGCGGTTCTCAACTCACCTTTACAAGAGGTCAGTGGTTCTCAACTCACCTTTACAAGAGGTCCCCAGCCGGCCAGCAGGAACTGTATGGTGAACTCCACCAGTACAATGTCCAGGTCACCCTGGGAGGGCTCCCGGGTCACCAGCGACAGAATCTTGTGGGCGCGCGCGCGGATAGAGCGCAGCAGGCGCGCGCCCGGCTCCTGGGGCGGCTTGGGCGGAGGCGGCGGCGGCGGCGGCGGCGGCGTCTGCTGCGGTGTGGGCGGTGCCGGACCGCCGTCAGAGGCACACGCACCCGATGACGGCGGCGTCAGCGAGGGTTTGGATTTGGGCGACCGGTGATGCGGCTTGAAGTGGCCCGCCTTGGCCGAGCTGGAAGGGACGATAGATTGTTAGAGAAAGGCGCTCCTTGGGAGTGTCGCAAACAAGAGATCAGCGCTTTTCCAGAACATCACTGAACCAATACCTTCGCAAACAGATGTAGGAAATAATCTTTGAACCAGCTGACATATAGTCCCGTCCCGTAGCTCAGTTGGTTAGAGCAGCGGCGTATTTAGAAAATCGCGAAGGGGGGGGGGCCAAGGACTAGGAGGGCGCCATTTCATCCAAGGAGGGCGCCTTACGGTCGCGAGATAAATAGCCCTGATGTTCAGTCATGCTCATATGCAGCTACGGGGGTGCACGTTATTCACGATAGTCATACCTTGTCTAGCTAAGCGTCAGGGACAAGTTTGCTGCGAGTGAACCTGGCCGAGTAGGTACTACTGAGACGTCTCACCGCGCTCGGCCACCTCCCTGCGCTGCACGCATGACAGATATAGCTCTCCTGGCAATGTAGAACGCTGTCGTTCTCTTCTCCATTGCCGCGGATAGTCCCTTACTACCATAAGTCTAAGCTAGAGTACCTTTGTCTCTAACCGCTGCCCTTGCCATCAAAAATCAAAATCACACAATGCATACTACTGCGGAGGTTGTGTTTTATACCGAAGTTATGCGCCGACATTCAAAGCACAAAATCACGTGTAAATGTATCACACGAACCGATGATGATAATATGCAGTTCTACACGTATGTAAGCTGTTTATAAATGAAGGATGGAAAATTACAAAATACAAAGCACTGTCAACCGGGGAAAACTGAACAGATCTATCTCTAATCTCTCGGTCGAATCTCCGGAGAGCGACCGGGTGGGCGGCCGCTCCTCCAATGGTAACATTAGCGTAGCGCGGCCGGCGCTGCCGCACCCCTAAGCTCAAACTAGCGAACGGCGGGCACATCTGTACGGGGGCGGGACGGGGAGATGCAGCTACACGACACATACACTACACAGCCAGTTTCCATCATCGAAACTTTAGACGCCTGTTGTAGCGGCTGAACCTGTCGATTACTTTATCGTGATCCAAGGAAATATCACGATGCACGTAAAGTAGGGTCAGTCCGTTCAGACGGGTTTCACGCATGGTGGAGCGCAGATAGTTTTTTATGTATTTCAGCGTGCTGAATGCACGTTCATTTGTGGCCGTTGTCACGGGCAATGTAGCGAATATGTGCAAGAGAGCGGTTATACTGGGAAACATGTCCAACTCCCTCGCCACTTTCAACGCTTCCAAAACGGTGCCCGGACGTTCGCTCTCTCCTCTCCGAAGCCAGTGCTGTTTCCACAACTGAAACTCAGCATCGACAACGTCGATGTTGAAGTCGAGACAGCGCGCGTAGAAGTCCACCGCGTCACTCAGGCTCTCGAAGTCACTGTCCACACAGAGCTTCGGCACAAGTGGGCTCATGTTCTGTCCTCGACATCTGTGAGACTTGAAGCGCTCGCGAAGCTGTGAGAGACACACGTCCAGAAACGGGAGGAAGACTGCCACCCGGTAGTGATCTCGAGCCGTAGCGACAGGTGGGTTGGAGCGGTGGCGCTGTCTGCTCGCTTGTCTTGGCCGAGGTATTGACTGGCCGGTCGATTCCTCCACAAGATCGAACAGGTCGCTATAGGTACTGTCGTCGCGGTACTTCTCCAGGACACGAGTGCAGTCGTCCACACTGTCCACAGCTTTCAAGAGGTCGAGGTCGGGACTTTGGAGCCTGCACGACAGCGGCTTTGTCACCAGCAGCACCTTGTTCATTATCTCCAGACAGAGGAGAAAACTTGGTTCCGTGATGGCGTTTAGCAGAGAGTTTGCCTTCCCCACAGTTTCACTGTCCCTACTCTCGGCTGCCAGCTTTTCAAGCGCCGACTCGACCGCCGGACGCAGCTCCTTGAAAACTGAGGTGGCTTCCTGATTCTCAACCCACCTCGTCTCACAGAATTTCTTTAGCCGGGTTCGTGAGCTTTCTGGACACTCTGAGCTGATGCATGACTGTAGTAGAGCCAATCTCTTATTCGATTCTGACAGGAATTTGGCAGTCTCTTGCATAGCTGTTCTGGCAGATTGGATCTCTCGGATCTTCGCGGCTTGCACGAGGCACAAGTTGAGAGCATGGGATGCACAGTGACTGTATGTAGCGGCTGGGCAGACGTCTTGGATGTGGCGCTGCACACCGTTTTTTTCACCAGCCATGGCTGCCGCGCCATCGTAACCCTGGCCGACCATGTTCTCAGGGTCAATGTCGTGCTCCTTCAAAATTCTGAGCAACTGAGCTGCCAGCCCAGCACCAGTGAGGTCGGGGGCTTCTTCGTAATGGAGCAGTCTCTCTCGTACCTCTGAGTTGCTTGTGACGTATCTCAGACATACGCTCAGTTGCTCTTTACCACTGATATCTGTCGTTTCGTCGGCAAGGAGCGAGAAGTATCTTGCCAATTTCACTTCGCTTACAATCTCCTCCTTCATGGTCTCTTCAATGGCTTTGATGAGATCGTTCTGGCTCGATGGTGAGATATACGTTGCGTTTCTGCCCGCCGAGTCGAGATGCTCCTTGAGAACTTTGTCGCCAGATGAGACCATCAGCTGCAGAGTGGCTCGGAAATTGCCCTCTGTGTGGCTACTCCTATCATCGACAGTTAGGCTACCACTGTCACGATGACCCCTCAGAGGCAGGCCTTGACGGCCGAGGTGCTCTAGCCCTGTCAGTATCCTTTTGAGGCTTTCACGGTTTCTTGATTTCTCCCTTGCTGCGGCCTTGTCTTGCTGTTCTGAGACATCAAGACCACTAGCCACTTGCTGTTTGAAGGCTCGAGCTCTAAAAGCACTGTCGACATGAAAGTCACGCTTCAGATGAGTTTCGAGGTACCCATCGCGGCCCGTGAGGTGGTCATACTTTTTTAGAGGTGTCCGTACCAGTCGATTCAACGGTACACCTCCAGCATCCAGCACGCCGAAGAGCACGCATGTTTTGCAAAAGACGCCCCCCTTCGATGGTGAGTATGAGAAGCACTCGTACTTGCCTTGGAAGTGTTGCGGCCGCAAATACTTTTTCCTTGTTCCCTGTCCAGCTTTCCTTTCAGTGTAGGGCCAGACGAACCCATCGGGTGGCTCCCATCGTTCTAGCAGTCGAACACGATCTTCCTTTGAAAGGCAACGGTTCCCCACGGCTTCCCCTATGTCACCGATCGCGCTAATTCTCTGACTAGCCGTGCCTGAGACGCCTTCCGACGCGGCCGGGCGGCTTCCTCCACCACTGTCACCTCCCGGTGAGGTCTGGCGACTCCCTCCACCGACGGGCGCGGTCGGACGACTCTCTCCCGGTGAGGTCTGGCGACTCCCTCCACCGACGGGCGCGGTCGGACGACTCTCTCCCGGTGAGGTCTGGCGACTCCCTCCACCGACGGGCGCGGTCGGACGACTCTCTCCCGGTGAGGTCTGGCGACTCCCTCCACCGACGGGCGCGGTCGGACGACTCTCTCTCGGTGAGGTCGGGCGACTCCCTCCACCGACTGCGCCTCCCGGCGCGGTCGGACGACTCTCTCCCGGTGAGGTCTGGCGACTCCCTCCACCGACGGCGCCTCCCGGCTCGGTCGGACGACTCTCTCCCGGTGAGGTCGGGCGACTCCCTCCACCGACGGCGCCTCCCGGCTCGGTCGGACGACTCTCTCCCGGTGAGGTCGGGCGACTCCCTCCACCGACGGCGCCTCCCGGCTCGGTCGAACGACTCTCTCCCGGTGAGGTCGGGCGACTCCCTCCACCGACGGCGCCTCCCGGCTCGGTCGGACGACTCTCTCCCGGTGAGGTCGGGCGATTCTCTCCCGTCGTGGTCGGGCGGTTCCCTCCAACAAGGACGCCTCTCGGCGTGGCGGTGGAATCCGACTCCTTTACGACTCTACTCCCTTCACCAGAGTGGGCATCATGCATGCTCTTATTGGTCGTAGAGCCGGAATCAACTCTGGCCACAAAAGAAAGGAAATAGAAAAGTTTGTAAGCGAAGGTTCACTGGACAGCAGAATTGGCAGGACGAACAAGATTATAAAGATACTTTATCCACTTCTCCGCCACCTTCTGTTGATGCCACCACATTGACGATCATGACATGAGTGGGCGTGATCCAGAACAGTGGCATACGATCGTCACAGATTCATCATTCAGTAACATGTTCTTAAGAGTAAAAAAAGTATAGATGGTGTGCATTCAAACACAAGCATTGAGAGGCCTCCTCATTGAACACCTGAAACGTGACGTGGTGACTCTCACTCTGGAACTAGGGCGGTGGGTGGCGGGTGCCATGGCTCCAACCACATAATAGATGCTCATGTGATGCTTGATACCTTACTGTTACATAAATGTGTCTAGGAGCAATTCTAGCCCGGACGATGGCTAACTGCAGTCTACAACTCACCCGCAGAATCGAAGGATTGATTCACATTTTTTAGCAGAAGCAGCCAGCTCTCTGCGCTTCTTTTGAACACGGAAATCGTGTCCAGATTTCTTTCTTTTAGTACGCGAAGGTTCGGACATCTGGAAAGGTTATGGATTTAAGGTAAGGGCAGGCAGAACATAGGACGATGGCATTCTGGACATGATGAATGGATGTAAGAGGCAATACACAAGACAGTTTGAAACATCATTAGATAGAATCTAAGTAACTAGATTATTAGCATTTATATGGACATTGACCGCTGAGCTAACTGAAGTACATTTTCAGACGTGACAAGCCCAAGAGGTGTGGACCGAGTGCAATTTATTGTGAAATTCCTTTTTACAAGCTGAGGCCTGTTTCACTAAAAACTTGCGATTACAAGTGTTTGAACTTTACAATTCATAAGTTTTTTTGCAAACTATGTAAAATCGGATTTCACTAAACTGCAACACCAGCGGCACCTCCGATAAAAACTTCAACACCAGCGGCACCTCCGATAAAAAGAGTTTGCAAATAAACTTGTAAACAATAAGATTGTTTTAATCAAGAACTATAACATGTTACATATATTGTTTCTTTTTATCAAATTATGTCTTTTATTCATGTCAAAAATTGCATAATTAAATTGTAAATAATGATGCTGTCGAAAAATGATATAAATGATAATTCAGAATATCCTATTATTGGAAGAAAATAACACGCAAAACATTTGACAGCAGAAGACTGTTTAATGCAACTATGGCGCGCGAATGACAAAACATGACGATACTTAAATTAAATATTGCTCGTAGCTGGTTCATAGGGATTGTGTTAAGTAAAAAACAGCATAATATAATGACTCAGCATATCATATTTGTTTAAAATAATTGATTGATTTGCATTATTGCACAAAAAGTAACACATCGGGTAGGAGGGCAGTGACCAGCAAGAGGGCGCCTATGGGTAAGAGGGCGCCAATGTACAGGAGAGCGCGAAAAAGGTAGGAGGGCGGCAATCAGCTGGAGGGCGCCGATGCGTAAGGGACGGCGATCAACAGGACTGGGAGGGCGCCTATGGGTAAGAGGGCGCCAATTTACAGGTGAGCGCAAATAGGTAGGAGTAAGACTTAAGAGGGCAGCGATCAACAGGAGGGCGTCAATGGGTAGGTAAGGGACGGCGATCAAAAGAGGGAGGGCGCCAACAGGTAGGAGGGCGCCGACCAACAGGAAGGTGCTAATGAGTAGGAGGACGGTGACCAACAGGAGGGTGCCAATATGTATGTAGGAGGGTGGCAATCCGAACAGGAGGGCGCCAACAGGTAGGAGGGTCGAGGGCGACGAGCGAGAGGAGGGCGCCAATGGGCAAGAGGGTGGCGACCAACGGACAGGAGGGCGCCAAATGGGTAGGACTTAGGAGAGTGGTGACCTAAGGGAGGGCGCCTATGGGTAAGAGAGCGCCAATTTAGGGACGGCCGAGTGGTTGGAGTGGTTGGAGGGTGTGTAGTTTACCGGTGGATTATCCGCACGTGCACGATGCACCAACCCTCCAGTCCAACTGACTCACCGAATCTAGTCTAGTACCCCTCCCCGGGCCCGCCGCGGGCTGGCGGCGGCGGCCGGAGCCGGTCCGACCTTTAGCCGGCCGGGTCAAGTAACCGGGGCGGCCGCGCCCGGGCCGCCGGGAGACGGAGTCGGGTGCCCGCCGGCGAGCCGTCGGCAAGGGCGCGAGGCACATAAGTCGGCTACACACTACAGGGTGCCCTCCAGGTCGCCCTCCAACTACATTTTCACTGTAAACACATTTGCGATTGGAGGGCGCCTTCGGCGCCCTCCAATCGCAAAGGGCGCCTTCGGCGCCCAAGGGGGGGGGCCATGGCCCAGTGGCCCCCCCCCTGCCTACGCCCCTGGGTTAGAGCGTTGGACTCCGCGTGGTGAGAGCACGCGTTCCCGGTTATGACAGTCCGGGTTCGAAGCGCGACGGGCGCTCGACATTTATGGGCCTCCTGACAGGTATGGTTGCGGTTGGTGGCAGGCCGTAGCCAGGCGAAGTCAGTGAGGGGACCGGCCGTGCGCGGCTTTGTGCGCACGTTAAACTTTGGACTCTAAATTCTGCCATAGAATCGGAATTGCGCGATCGGAGGGTAGAGGGCAGGGTCATCGCAACAAGTTTCGCTTAGCGGTGGCTCTGTCCTTATGAATCCTTCCCATCAAAAGGTTCGGACTAAATTTATAAAAAAAATATACAAAACAAAGTTGTACGCCGATCACTAACAAATCTTCCTTAATCCTTCCCTTTCTTTCCGGAAAATCCCTTTGAGCGATGTTTACGTTGAAACCGATACCCGCAAAGTTCAAAAGCTCCGTCTTCTTTTGGCGGCTAACTAGCCATTCACACAAATTTAGGTAAGATTGTCGATGTCGGCTACGATCACTCATTGTTGGATCTCGGCGATACGGTACATATTGGATTGTTCAACTTTATCACAGTGATTATAGACCAAGAAGGTAGGAGTGTTTATTCATGACAAGCACGATGTGTACGTTATGTAACTAAGGCTAGAATTAACTTGATGGAGTCAGAGAAGATGCTGCTGTAAATATTTGCGCAGCTTCAACATAAGATTAAGCTATGAATTATAATTCAATGACTAAGGCTATTACACTTAATTCGATAAGCTCGTTTTAAATCCCTATGCATGCTCTCGGAGAAACTTTGGAAAACGGCATCTCAGTGCTAGAAGTTGAAGCGGTAAAGCAATTAACTTTGCCAAATGCTTAGCATATGGTGGCAATGTAAACGCTGAACTCAAACTATTTTCACTAAAATAGACTCAAATAGGCATTGCAATTCAAATAGTAACCATCGACGCCCACTCATTTCAAAACTTTTGAGTTGAAATCGAGCATTATTATAAAAAGAAACGAAACAGGTCTTCAATCATTTAGCACAAATTGTATTGTCATTGTCACCGTCAGCATTTGGTACTTGTCATTCCAATCAAGATAGATAAACAGCACACCCTCCCACTCCTAAATTCGCCACCCCCGGCCCGGCTCAGCTCGCCTCCGGCCGCCCCCACACCCCACACCCACCGTTTGACGCAGCGGCCCTCGTCGCTACTGCTGGTGCTGAGGTTCGGCTCTCCCTGCCGCTCCTGGGTCCGTACCGTGGTCAGCTTGCGTTTCAGCGACTGTGGGGACACGGGGGGAGAGTGATAGGTACTACATACCATGGGTTACCACACCATCAAGGTATCATGTCCGCAGAGGGTGGGGCGTCAGTGATCTAAGGTATTTGTGCCACGAAGCGGCTCATATTCATTTTACTGTTCATTTATTCGTTTGTTCAATTTCTGTGTGACGTCTCCAAGGCGCTTTTCGATAGTGTCATACGAGTTAAAGCACAGCGACATGCGTTTACTCATCGAAGTGGGATAACCCATCGATATTAGCATTCCCTTTTTGTGAGCCGTTCTCAGAGCCGTCCTAATGAAATGATGGCTAAATAGTCGATGCTTGAGAAAGCATTACAAGCAGTGATAATGACTTTGTGCAGCTTGTCCTCCCATTTAACCCTCGCCCGCACATGCCATTTTCCCATCCTAGAACGCACATGGGGGGGGGGGGTGATTGCCACCCCCCCGCGCCATTTCGTTCCTGTTGGAGATAGAGCTTAGCGGTAAAGACCAAAAAGATTCTTTGGGAAGAGACGAATCCAATGATACCCAGTTTTACCTTCTCAGGTCAGTCATTGACCTTCCAGGTCAGGTCAAACTAAAAAATGTTGCTGTTTTGGGTCACCGTTGGATATCAAGTGTGCTGCTTATCAAATACCGATGACGATGCTGTTTTCTGGTGCCAAGCCAGCTAGAACCTCTTTGTCACACTACCCTACCAGAATTTTGCTGCTGAGGTCATTTCAGGTCAAGTTAGGTCAAGGTCAATTATATGTGTTTGTATGTCTGTGTGTGTCTGTGTGTATACTGATGTGTGCACCGATTGTTTTTGGGTCCATATTACATGAAATCATGATCTGAGAAGCTTTTACCAAAAATGCAGTAAAAAAAACTTCAAAAAAGTAAATTCAGCTTGCCTAAAACGCAATTATCTTAGATGACCTAGGTTGACCTTGACCCTGACCTTGACCCCTGTACATCGTCGAACAACATGTTCCATGATAGGTGGGAGGTAAGACTGGCAAAAAAAGGCCGAAATCAGGGTGTCAAAAGCTCATAAGGCCCATGGCAAACGCAATATGTTGAGAATTGGCCATTTGGGTCATGACATGACCTGACAAACAAGGTCATATCTCCGAAACCAAAATTCACAGAAACTTGAAATTTTCAGTGGACATCAAGAAAGGATAGAGGAGCAGCTATACGAAAAATCAGCCTTCTAGCTCTAAAAATGTTGAGTGCAGAAGAGAAAGACTACCTGGGGGGGGGGGGGGTGGGGTGGCAACCACCCCCCCCCCATGTGCGGGCGAGGGTTAAGGTTTACATATGTGTGGATGTTACCAACAACTCTGCACTGCAGTCTAAGAAACGATAATTTGACTTTTATCTTCATTTTCCCACACCCCTCAGATACATTCATCATTCATTTGCACCATTCGCGGCGCGGCAGTCCCATCGGCAGGTACGAACCTGGGCCATCTGGTTATCAGACTGGCGTACCTTGGAGGCGGCACAGGGGGGCTGCACGGCCCCCGCGGCGCCGCCGCCCCCGCCCTGCCAGCCGGGCGGCATGACGGCCCAGACGCCGGCGGCGGCCGCCGTCGGCTCCAGCCGACAGTCCACGCTCGGATCCTGCCGGCAACGTGACCCCGACCAATCAGCGCGCGGCCGCGGCGCAGGCCCCGCCCTCTCACGCGGCCGGCAACGTGAGCGTCGTGACGTCACGCTGGGACCACGGGCCGGCGCCGTGCGCCGGTCGATGCGGTCGGGAGGGGGGGGGAGAGAGGCCAGGAATCCTCGGTGGGCTTCGCGACCAAGCCGGACCGCGGCGGCAGCGTCGGAGCCGGAGTAGCAGCGAGCCACGCCGCCGACGGGGCAGGTATGCACGCAAAAACCATTCTGCGTCCGGGGAAACTACGGAATGTGGAGCTATTGTGGGACATTTGTCAGAGGTCACCCAAGTCAGCAGCGGAACAACTCAGCATGACATTGCACGAAGGTGCACACATGTAGGTCAAAGGAGGCCAAGGGTACAAACGGTACAAGAGGAGAGCTGTGTTAATACCGCGGGGTGACGGGCGGGGGAAATGACTGCTTCAGCCTGAAATAATTGAGACAAACATATTGGCCACACATTTTTTGCTGTCTACTTACATTTCCACATTGTATTTGATGCTACTTTAACTTTATAAACCATCTTCCACTTAGTAAAACGTCCATTTCCATTTCAAAGCGGCGAGGGATGCATAATAAATTTCGTCTGGATGTTTCAGATATTTGAAACATATCGATAAATGATCAAAGATGTCCTATCGCGTCTTCCTACCAGACGCACAAGAACGTTAAAACCACCTCTTCTTAGAACGAATCTCCAATTAAATCAAAACCGACCGGCTCCAAACGTCCCTGGCGAGTGCGTATCACACCGTCTCGTTGGGACCCGGCGCACGCTACTTTCACCATCAGTAGGACGTTATGCGTCGTGGCCCGCCCGGGCCGCGGAAGGTCGAGAGAGAGTGAGGGAGGAGAGGAGAGAGGGAAGGAGGGCAGGATGGACAGAGGATCGGAGGAGAGAGGAAAGAGGGGAGAGGGGAGGAGGGACAGAGGATTGGAGCAATAGAGGGGAGAGGCAGGCGGACTGCTGAACACACCAGCCAGCCCCAAACAAAACCAGATCAACAGACGCCCCGGACATCGACCCACTATACATCGGTTTGGAGACTGCCCGACCCAGTCGTCGGACAATAGATACTGGCACTGCAGGCCACGCGAGGCTCGAATCAGACATCTATTCAATGGCAGATTGTTAGGCAGTGCGGGTCTCCAGCAGACAGCATACAATGACAGGGTAGGTGCGGCACGTTCCAATGTCTGGGGACAGACACACTGCTGATACCAACCCGCCGGGAGGGAGGGTAGGACGGAAACACGTGAGGCACTCAGTCAAAGGTCACGGTCACGAATCATGAGTCACAGTCACGGGTCACGAAACGCTTCCCCGTAGAGTTAACTCGGTAACGGGGCGGGAGAAAACAACAGGAGGAATCGTGGTGACTATTACTAACCCACTCTTTTTGGCATGTATGTCGTTATGAGTAATTCCTTGCAGTTTAGACAGACACCAACCTTTAACTAAATATTCATCAGCGCGCCTTAGATAGTTTTACACATAAACACATTGGTATACATAGTTACACGAGCCAGAGCCTCCCTCGTCCTACACACCTCATGTCCCGTCGCGTGCGCCCTCACTGACCGGTGGTGAGGTGTTGCTCTCATCATCCTCAGAGCTGTCGCTCGGAGTCGGATTCAGCCAGTTCTGCAGCGTCTTGTGCAGGTGACCGCTGGCGTACATTTTGTACAGCTGGGCGAGGAGCTCCACGACGGGTACACACCAGGCAGACTGCGGGAGGAGATAGGGGTCAGCATGAATAGAGGCGGGGAGGTCAGATGGGTCAGGTCAGACTGCAGGGCGAGGTGAGGGGGTGAGATACTGAGGTAAGAGACGAGACTAAGGGACGGAGGGGAAGGGGGTCAAGACATACTGCGGGGGGGGGGGGGGGGGTGAAGGCGAACGGGTCAAAGTGCACTGCGGCAAGGAAAGGGGACGGGGATTGTAGCAGGAATGGAGACCAAAAAACAGACGAGATTATTGACACATTACGTCAGCGCAGATATGAACAGAAAACACAGAGGAAAAAGCGGCACGCCATAAAACGACAAGCCACATCTCTTCCTGGACTATTTTCGTATCAGGTTAGCGAAAGAGCCGCGCGATCGATCAGTCATGATGACCGGGCCCACATGAAATCCAAACGGAACCGTAACCTAGATCGCTGAATGGTTTATGGTACCCTAAAGCAATATGGATAATGCATATGCGATATTTATATTTGAGTTCGCTGACTCGTTGATATACAACACCAATCATATTCACAAATTAACAAGTCAAACACACTAAGTCAGAACGAGTAAGTTGGCGGAAAAGTAAATTAACCCAACTGAGAAACGGAGGGTATTCAGTAATGTTACGTGAGAAACTTGGACAAATAATAACAGCCAAAGGGAAACTTTAGGACTAAACAAACAAAATCGTAGCCCCGATACCTGGCAAAGTCCGCCTAGCAGGTACGCACCTCATCAGAGTACCTATCGATTTCAGAGGGAAGGGTTGAATGGAAGAATCAAACAGGTCCCGTAAAGAAGAAAATCCGGAAAAGGACGGTAAAAAAAATTACTCCACAGTTCACTTTTCAGAATACAAGAAAAAAAAAACAATAAAAAGCTAAATTGAGGGCGCACAGACGTTATGTAACATAAAAACTTTAGCGGAGGTCAAATATTGAAATGCAGCATCGGCTTGTAAGGACTCTCGCTAAATTTTCGTTGGACCAAAGCAGCCCACAAATTTCACGGTTTTGTGGTGCGCATTGCGCATTGCGCAGTGGAAAAGTCACGAGACTATATAAAGCACCATATCTAAACTTAAAATGACGTCAAACATTCTGTTTATGACGTCACCTAAGCACAACACATAACACATACTTTCCACGCTCTTGGCATTAGTATACACAGAAACCCAACGGCACATTGGCCGGCGGCAGTGACTTTGGGTTGTCGGGCTGGTTTGTTTAGGTAGAACAGGCCACCGGCTCCGGACCAGACCAAAGTCAGCACTTCCGCTGTCATTTCGGGTCGGCCCGGTCAGGCGCCTAGTCTTGACGATTATACTCAAATGGAAAGTACCTATCTCCACACACAAATAAGAATGGCAATATCTATTTAACGCTAAAAACCATTACCGTAAAAGTTAGATGTCGTGAATCTCTAGTGAAGCAGCCCAATAAATTTCCTCTTCCTCCCCTACCACCCTCCTACCCCCGTGTGTACCCCCACAAACCCATTCCCCCTCCTAGCCCCGTGCCCCCCCCCCTAGTTCCCCGTGTAAACTCACCAGTGATGGTGACTGCATGAGCTGGTGGAGCGCCTGACCCAGGTCGGCGGAGAGCAGCGCCCACAGCAGGTTCCGGTAGCGGGCCATCTCGGCGGCGTCCGAGCACAACGGCCCGTGCAGCAGGTTCCTCAGCAGTGAGAGCGTGGTGGTGATACACTCGGCGTCCCGGCCGCGCATCGCCTGACGGAGGGAGGGGGCAGGTCAGGTCAGGTTAGTTGCAAGACAGGACATAACAGGTCAGGTTAGGTACAGGTAAGGTCAGCAGTCAGTGACAGGCCAGGTCAGGTCAACTGATGTTATCCTGGACAATTCAGATCCAGGGTAAGGGCAGGACTGGCTGAGGATGTGCAAGTCTTGCATAAAAGTGAGAGAAAAAAAATGATCAAAAGAATTAAGCTAATGTGAGTCAGAGGCCAGGTTAGGTAAAGCGAAGTCAGCTCGGGAGGGATGGGCGGGCGAATACGAATAAGGTCAAACCGACAGAGAAATATATAAGTGAATATGAAATACATCGTCGCCGGCCCAGCGCTGGCGGCGTAACACCTGAAATTCAACTACGTATGACACTATGATCAAAGGAAATGCGACTGATGCATCATTTTACACCGAATGGAGCAATCCATTATAAAACACATGGATGACATGACGAACATCAAAAGAACGACTAAAAAACATCAAACATCAAATAAGGCACTTCTACTCCAGCAAAACACTAAAATGCAACACAATTGTATCTTGATAATAATAGGTACTAACGGACTAAAAACAACCTCTGTTCGCATTTGCAGTAGCGACAGCCGACAACCACACATTCCCAAACGGCACAGCACGGGAAACACACGGCTTTTTACAGTGATGAGTGTCCTAACAAGCTTTGATGATATGGATGTCCTTATACTGATTATATAGGTATACTAGAAGGATCCTGACGATTCCCTAGGCCAAACAGTCCATCATCATCTCACGCATTTGTAAAAGATCCCCGCGATGTGTCATGAGCGCCAGTCGCCATCCTAGCAACGCATCCGGTCTCCCGAACAACACACGCAGTCGGTCATTGACCTTTGTCGTCCACGCGCAGTTGCTGACGTCACGTACGCACACTGTGTGACGTCACAGTATCTCCGGCGGGTCAATGAAGGTCGCCACAGGAGGCCGAGGTGTCGGCGTCACCAGCCGGACACATCGCTAGGTATTGATCGAGGGGTTTCCATCCGACTTTCCAGCAAGGTCATCTAGCTAAGTGAGCTAATTGGCCAAATGACGGTTACGGTAACTATAAGAGGTGGTGTGTGAAACTACCGAGCGGAATATCGCATTGATGGAAGGGACCAGCAGTGACAACAAAGCGACACATTATAGTGACCAGTAGTGACCAGTACCACAACTAGGACCAGTAGTCGTGGTGACCACAAGGGATGATATCAACTTTGTAACTTGTGGTGGACGTTTGAGTTTGTATCTAGTGAACAGCACATGTGAATGTATATATTCACGTCTTATGATGTGTCGATCTCATTGCATTTTTTCCTTGTAACTAGAAGGTTCAATCGGTTACGGAACTGGCTGTCATTTCATTCCTTAGATGTGCTTGTTCTCCCTCTGTGTCAGGAATCACCCTCAAAGCGAGCGTTCAACCGTGAGCGAGCAGACTACAGGGCGACTCGCATCACCCAGCTTATTGCACCGGTAGTTGATGACATTGGCTGCAAAGCCTTTCTGCCATCAAAGAACCAAACAATTGATAAAATATTTCATTCACGTCTGTTCTCTATGACCCTAGACAACCCACGTAGGCTGCACACTGCGCAGCGTCATGAAATTGCATCAGGGAACTGCATCATAGTTCAGGATGAATAATCACAATGCATCTCAATTCACCCTCAGGCGATTCATTTGACAAACATGAACTGCAGCTCGTCATTACTGACGGCTAAGAGATTTCCGGAATGTGTAGCCTTTCCTGACAAATGATGCACTGTATTGTACCCATGGAGGCAGTGGTTTTATTTGGATTAAATATGGTTCAGTTTGCGTCAGCAGGCGTTAAGCACATTAGGAGTTTTACGCACATTAGGACATGGGCATTGGCATAGACCTCTGTATACAGAGGTCTACGGCATTGGGCACCCAATACGTCATGTTTTTACCGGGAGCGGGAGACACTGCTTCGGACACTCGGGACCCTTAGGACTCTGGGGACACTCGGCACACTGTAGCGGACACTCCAGACACTCATGACACTGCTTCGGACACTCAGGACACTCGGAGACACTCCAGGCACTCTGGACACTCACCGCAGCGGTGGTCTGTCGGGCCAGGACTGCTCCGAGCGGTGCCAGGACAGCCCGTGCCGCCATCGGCGAGGAGAGCTCCTCCTTGAGGCCGCGCAGTCCCAGCGACAGCTGGATGCTCACCTCGGGAGAGAGGCCCGAGAGCGCCGTCTGCGAGGGGCGCAGGCTCTCCTCCGGCGAGGACAGCATGTCCAGCAGCCTGGGGGAGACGAGGGAGACACGTCAGAGGGGACGGGGGACAGTCCAGGATGGAGGAGAGACTCCAGCAATGTAAATTTTCATCGGGAACCTGTGAAATATTTTAGACACTGAGAAGTTTGCCGGTCTATAAGCGCAATTTAAATTAGAAGAACTAGATTCTTCCACGAAATACCAAGTAAATGAAGCACTACATTAGCTGGGTACAAGTTAGTAGAAGTAACGGGGCCAGCTGATGAAATTAATCCTTGGTGAGAAATCAGCATCGCTCTACGCTGGGGCAGACATGCTGCACAGCTGGGGACGCTATGAACTTACGTGAGGGTGAGATCCTGCACTTGAAACGGCGGCTCCTTGTGTAAAAGGAGCGGCACCAGATTCTGAAAAAGGGCAGTACATCGTCAGCACTGACGCCGCACTACGAGGACATATGATAATCTCTGGTGACTACTCCTCAAGTCTCCAGCAACTATTTTCACAAAGGATTCAGAACAGTTTTATAAGTAGGTCCTATTATAGTTTTTTTTTTTCAGCCAGGTCGTTCAAAAAGTAAAAAAAAACATTCCCTCGGCAAAAGCAGCCACCCCGAAACACCCAGAACTAAAAAATGATGAGGCTGGAGAGCGGTTACTGATGCGTAGTATCAGTGGCGGATCCAGGGGGGGGCAAAATGGGCATTTGCCCCCCCCCAAACGGCATAATTTTAACATTACGCCTATGGACGATGCATGGAAAGAATCGATAAATTGTTATGGTTTGCCCCCCAAAAAACTCTGAGCTGGATCCGCCTCTGCGTAGTATCTCCTATCAGATGAGCTGACCGAATCTAGGAAGTTCGCATTTTTCCCTTACAAATCGCGCACCCCCCCCCCCCCCCCGGGAAAATTCCCGGCGGTTGGACACCCTGACCTAGGATCATTACATGTACCGGGGAATGTAACCCAAGAGGCATTATGGAAATACTTCTTTTGTCCTGTACTACCATCAATCGTTGAACTACGTAATAGCCGTAATACGTCATCGAATACGCAATAGGTCGCTACTAACGGGACCCAATCATCCAACCATTGCAGGTAACTATATAACGTAACTAACAAGCAGTTCCGAGCAGCCTGCACAATTGAACCGCTCTCAGGTGCCTTTAATCCGCCTCCCTACAACGGGACCAAGACACTGCGGGGGCTATTGCTGCTGAGGAAACCAATCGGTGACGACGGCCGCTTCTAAAACCGGACTTCAATGCGTTCCAGTGACGCAGGTCCGGGTCTTCTTACCGTTCTGATGATGTTGGCATGCAGCAGCTGGCGCCGGTAGGTGTACGTGACCGTGTCGTCATGCCGCAGCTTCTGTACCAGCGTCTTCAGCACCGCTGGAAGATGGGAGGCGAGGTGCGGTGAGGCTGCGGCTCGGGGACTTACGGAGAGACGCGCGCAGAGCAGCGGTCCAGCATCATCAACAGCCGATGTAACAACTCACGCAGCAAGCACTTAATTGACAGCCGTGATTTGACGCAGCTTCAGCTAAAATTCAGTAACCAATCGAATACCGATCGAGCCTGACATTGTGACTTGGAAGAAGGAGCCTCAAGGGATTCGCATATTAATTCCCTTGAAGGCAGCGGCACAAGCACGCATTAGTAATGCGATCTGAGGACACCAAAGAGTCAACTATGCGGAATTCATTCGAGGCAGTAGCGATGCTTCAACTGCACATCAGGGTCTACAATCTGTATATTCCTGGAGGGCGGCATCCATATCGCAAAATTACGTTGTTGCGAGGCATTTAGCGCATATATACATATATGTATATTGTATATTGTATATTGTATTGTATATGTATATTGTACATGAATATTGAATAATCAAATCCGTACTATTTTTTTTTTGAAGCATCGAATGGATGGATAAACGGACGATAATCCACATGTAGTGTGCATTTCTTGGGGCAACTATCTATTGGAAATCAAGCGAAGCCCGGATGCCACTAATGAAGCTTAGTTACACTTAGCTAATAGACAGGAAGAGAAAAAGAGAGAGAGAGAGAGAGAGAGAGAGAGAGAGAGAGAGAGAGAGAGAGAGAGAGAGAGAGAGAGAGAGAGAGAGAGAGAGAGAGAGAGAGAGAGAGAGAGAGAGAGAGAGAGAGAGAGAGAGAGAGAGAGAGAGAGAGAGAGAGAGAGAGAGAGAGAGAGAGAGAGAGAGAGAGAGAGAGAGAGAGAGAGAGAGAGAGAGAGAGAGAGAGAGAGAGAGAGAGAGAGAGAGAGAGAGAGAGAGAGAGAGAGAGAGAGAGAGAGAGAGAGAGAGAGAGAGAGAGAGAGAGAGAGAGAGAGAGAGAGAGAGAGAGAGAGAGAGAGAGAGAGAGAGAGAGAGAGAGAGAGAGAGAGAGAGAGAGAGAGAGAGAGAGAGAGAGAGAGAGAGAGAGAGAGAGAGAGAGAGAGAGAGAGAGAGAGAGAGAGAGAGAGAGAGAGAGAGAGAGAGAGAGAGAGAGAGAGAGAGAGAGAGAGAGAGAGAGAGAGAGAGAGAGAGAGAGAGAGAGAGAGAGAGAGAGAGAGAGAGAGAGAGAGAGAGAGAGAGAGAGAGAGAGAGAGAGAGAGAGAGAGAGAGAGAGAGAGAGAGAGAGAGAGAGAGAGAGAGAGAGAGAGAGAGAGAGAGAGAGAGAGAGAGAGAGAGAGAGAGAGAGAGAGAGAGAGAGAGAGAGAGAGAGAGAGAGAGAGAGAGAGAGAGAGAGAGAGAGAGAGAGAGAGAGAGAGAGAGAGAGAGAGAGAGAGAGAGAGAGAGAGAGAGAGAGAGAGAGAATATCAGTAAGCAGTTCCAGTTATTGCGCGATGCAGTTGTGCACAGATTCCGTTCCCCATCATCTGTGATTGCCGCCAAAGTCTGAAGACGATGATTGTGATTCATACACCGGCAGTCATCATCACCACGGCACGCCACATCAATCGCCACCATAAGCGGCACCCCCTCCCCTCCCCCCCCCCTGCGGCGGGCGCCGCGCCGTTCCGCGCTGTGAGACGTTACGTCAGCACTGACACCGGGCCACGCTCCGTGCAACGTGACCGGCGCGCCGCGCGCCGGCCGGCTGCGCACCTCAGTACGGAGCCCCGGTAAACTTCCCGCGCGGGCCGGCCGGCTGCGCACCTCCGTACGGAGCCTCGGTAAACTTCCCGCGGCGGCCGGCCGGCCACGCACCTCCGTACCCGACGAACGGACCGGCCGGCCGCGTCGGCGTCTCACACCACCGGGCGTATCTGACGGCTCGCCACGCTCTGTTTACCCCACGCCACCGGCCACGTGACAGAACCGCCCAGAGCAGTGCAACTGTCCAGTGAACCGCTCGGTGTCCCATCGGCGCGTCCCCACCTCGGTCTCCACAACGTGACAGAACGCGCCGGAACGACGGCGGCGACGCGACGTGGGAGGCGACACGAGGGGACGGAGGCGTCGACAGTGAAACCGACGGTCACGGAACGCCCGTCACGGGTCACGGCACGGGGTCACGAAACGGGGTCACGGTACAAGGTCACGAAACGGGGTCACGGACGATGGAACAGGGCGAGGATGGATTAATTGCTGGAGCGGTTGCGGAAATGTGCAGAATGCTCCCGTTGGGCGGAGATATGCATGATGACAGAGTGCGCAATGCGCGTCACTCTGGAAAGATTAGCGCGTAAACATGAGCCACAAGCTATCAGACTGCAGACATCAGTAAGACTGAACATAACTCTATTCCATACTTAAAGGGACCCTCCCACCTTCAAAAAAGTTAATGAATTGGCACGAAAGTGATGTCGCTCGGTTCAGAAAGAGCGAAAACGAATATCTACCAAATTTCATCGAAAAATATTCACCGGTTTTCAAGATATTAGACTTTTTCGTTTGTTTACTTTTTGGGATCTCCGCTGTTCCTAGCGACCTTATTTGAAAGTGCGGCATTTGTTGCGCGCAAAGCAGCATATACCACCGCGTGCTACCAAACGTTTTAGTAAAAGATTTAAAAATCGTTAGATCTCCGCTGACGTCACAAATTCTAAAGGGGCATACCAATGCACTAGCCCCTTAGAATCCGAAAACTGCAAGTTTGAAGTTCCATATCTCCGAATTAAAGCATTTGTCGATGTTGTGAGTGCCCAAACCGGTATTTGCAGGCCATGGCCACCAATTTGGCTATCTCAACTCAAAACTAATGTTAAGGTGGGAGTGTCCCTTTAAAGCGATATGAGCATATTCCCATCATTCGTATCATATCGTGAACAATGAATATTAATCCAACTCCCGGGTAAAATCAGGAAATATTTGGACTCAAGCCTCCAGCCTATCTCAACCAGACGATTGGCATACGGGAAAACAGCTCGAACAGTTTCATCTTCAGATCGCCTCGGTGAAACATGTGCCGCACCTGAATGATATGCTAACCGGTCTCTCAGATAGGCAGGTTCTTCAGAACGGTATATTACCATGCGTACCGGATTAAATCTAACCGCACATGGAGGGAGTAGTGACGGCAAGGCTTACGGATTCCACTGACGGATTAAAACCAACGCTCAAGTTAGACCATCGTAGCGACTCGTGAGTCGTTACTCGGCCCTGGCACGCGGCTAAAAGGTGGTCCGGCGACAGAAACTACGCCAAAGAGGGCCGTTCCACTACGGTCGGTTATGCAAAGCTGGCGATCTTGACATTCTTGGGTAGATTGGGAAAATCTACTACGGAGAGTTGCATAACAGAAACTGAGCCAGTAATGAATAACTGGGAATGCCTGCCGACGTAACACTGTACCATGCTACATGCAACCCTTGTGAGTCACACCTTCCTGAGTTCGTATTTTGTACCATTTCGACTCAGAAGCAAGAATTATCGCCATTTGCCCCCGAACGCGCCACAAGTCCCCACATATTGGCACACCGCTACTCCTCGATTGGAATGTAAAATACCAAATGCAATGCAACCAAACCAAACTCCACCCTAACCCTATGGCGTGCGTGGACAATTGATTACCTTACATAAGCGCTGAAATCGACGAAAGCCCTGACAGCACCACCTCGGAGCTCCCTAATGGGAATGTACTGTCCAGCTCATGACTTCACCAAAATAGCAAACCAAAGCCTTGCGGAGCTCAGTCCGCAGGCGGACCGTTCATTTAAAACATCACGTAACTACCGGGTGGCCCAGAAACAACGTTCCCAACTTTAAATCAATATTTCTCAGAAAGTGATAAAGACACAACATTGAAACTTCGAATAGTCAATGCGGCACACATTTTCAGTAAATGGTGTGATTTTCATGGTGTTCGGTAGATTACTTTTTAAACGGTTCGTGTTTCAAGCATGCCATGTAAAAATTACTTTTTTGCTCCGATGTTTACTAAAAAATGTGAGTGAACTTTCACTTTCACCCCGCGGCACCGCGGCCTAGAGCCATGACTTCTACTGGCAGCTATTCTCATTGATGGTTCGGGTCTCAGGATGACACATTCCCTCAGGCAACCACGATGGCTCTGTGCCAGCGGCATCGGAAGAAGTTTCCAGTTTTCTAACCATCTTGTGGCTCAAATGCTTTCCTGGCTGACATTCCTGGGAAAAGGTAGCTTTTCAACCAGTGTTTTTGTCATCTGCTGGCAATGTTGTTTTTCATAAGCTATTCTGTGGTCTTCTGGCACAGGAACCAGTCTGCTTTAGTTTTTTTCCTTATCCCGTCGATTTACTGTTTGATCTACTGAAAGGAGGGTAATCAGCAGTAATCCATGCACCGTGCCACTCCTGCTCGAAACATGATTTGGTGTTGAAACGAATGGCATCCATGAGTACCATTTTGGCTCAGTATTTGAATATTAGACATGTATGCAGTGCCTTCCCTCTGTAACATTGTTTCTGTCTCGTCCGCAGGACTAGATATGTCCAACATTCACTGAATTCCGAATACAGAATATCGAAATGGCGCGCATGCCTATCTATGTTGGACATATCTTAATTTGCAATCAAGCATAACGTCGAAACCCGAGCCTCGAACCATGGCAACAGCCTGCCCATTCAGCGGCTGTGAATACGTCGTCGCTGCAGATACCGCACCTATCGTGGTCGTACAACTTCTTCAAATGCACCAGTCCGAGGCCCATACCCGGCCTACAGTGAGCATTACTGCCGAAAAGGTCACCAGACCGCGCGTGACAGCTGCCGGATCCAGCGAGGACTGGGAGTATTTCACCAGCCGATGGACGGAGTACAAGAAAGCCACCGGACTCACCGATACAGACTGCGTCATCCAGCTGCTTGAATGCTGCGACGAAGGCCTCCGCAGGGACCTCACCAGATTCTCGGGGGGCTCCCTCTCATCCAAGGACGAACAGACTGTCTTGGCCGCAATGCGAAGTCTCGCC